GTTGTAATTGGTTGCTATTACATATTAATGGTAAGACAGTTGTACGGAGAGTTATTTATATTGCATAATGACGGGACACTCGCGCAGTTCTTTAACAAATGTTGCATTTAAAATCAACGGCAAACCACATTCAAATTCAATTGGCTCTATTATTGTCACTAACTCACTTTTTAATTGGTCCTAGAATGCTTTAACACAAAAGATGATGTGTAAGAATTTCTTTCGTCAATTGATTTTTATTCATAAAATAAGAAATGAAAAAGAGCACACTATGCTTCTTACAAATGTTATTGGAATTCCATTCAGCTGTGTAAAATGATGAAGCTTAAAAAACAGCTTTTTCTGGGTTTGAAATTTAGGGTGTTTGAAACAGAAATATTTTCAGATACACACACAGATATATATATATATATATATATATATATATATATATATATATATATATATATATATATATATATATATATATATATATAAATCAAGACTTGGAGTAATGGAAAGTGCAGCCGTTTATCAAATGGTACTTTATTTCAATGCTTCAGAAAATCGTTCTGTACCCCATGCCATGACAAGAGATGAGTACTATTTCAGCGTCGATCAGGAGAGAGTGTGTCGTTCGTTCAAGTGTTTTCAGTAAGTCCGCCGAAGTAGAAGACAAAGTACTTATGCGGGAGGTGGGTTGAAGTATCCTGGTAAGAAGTTTACTCCAATACATGATATGTATATATATATATATATATATATATATAGATGTCCTAAATCACGCAGTGACAACTTTAGAAACCATAATAGTTGTCCATTTTAGTCCAATGTGACTTTTTTTTTTTTCTTTACATTATTAATTGCTCCATATTTCAGATTCTTGGAAACTCTGTTTTTCTCCATTCTTTATTTTGCAGGATATTCTTTTGATGACTTATTTTTTATTCCTATACTATATATATATATGTATGTAGTTTTGAATAAACTCTACTTGATAATAAAGATAAAAATATCATTGAGGTGCTGAAAATTTAAAAATATGGGTGTTGTAATATTGTAAGAAATGCTGACTGATGACAGCTTTTAAATTTACTTAAAAGTGGCGTTTAACCAATTTTAAGGCTAGCCAGCGTTCTCCCTTTCTGTTAATGATACTGATAGTTTAATACTGACTGGAGTAGGATTAATATGTTTCTTAATCCTATTTCCTAAGAAAATAAAGTACAAAATATCTAAGTAATTTAAAAGTAATAATAATGGATAATTGATTATGTAGAGAATTATTTCCGAACTGGATAATATTTTGCATGAATACTTTCCTACGAAACTTACGGGCAATTAGTTGCAATACATACACATACATACATTTAGTCAGAAGAATATTTGAAAAGAGAAAACCACAAAAACGCCCTCCTACTCTTCTACCAAGTCATAAATATTATAATTAGGTAACGAATGAAGTACTGCTAACTTATTGCAGCAATTTTCAGGCTCTTTTTTATTTGTTACTATGTGAAAATCTATTAATATTGCCCTTATAGAAAGAGATCTACGTCTACAGAAAAAACAATGTGCAAAATCAGACCACATTTTAATACTCAAAATAATTTAAAATGTTATGAAATAGTATATTTTATGAATAGTTCATGCTTTTCGGTACATTTAGAATGTCGATTACAAATTTATGTTTCATGAGATCATTGGGTTATATATATTTTTTACACTGCAGTTTGTTGTGTTTATTTTTGTTTTCTTTTTTTTTCTTTTTTTATACATCTTAAAATAAGATAAAGATATTTTTTTTATTTTCCACTACCATACTATAAACAACCAGAAAGACATTAATTACAAGTCTTCTACAAAGGTACGTTTGTCAGATCCATCAGCCCTTATTATTTTTTTAATTAACGGATTTTTGTTTTATTCATCATTCAAAAACATAGACCTAACCACTTACTGATTCAACAACTAATTAATTTTTATTTTACAAAAGTTAATTAAAAAATAAATAAACAAGCAAAATAAAATCATCGAAATTTTCGTTTCGATTTTGGAAGATGAATAACAGACAGCACACACTTAAAATGCGATTAGTGGGTCATTTCGTTCAGAAATAAGAATACTTTTTTTTGTATGTTCTTTTTCTATTTAAACATGTGATGACAGAAATGCGGTGGAGTGAAAAAGCAAAATGAAAAGTAAACTACCGCTAAATCGAGTTACGTTTTCCTACAATTCCCTCACCTCCCCTTCCCCTTTTTTCGGGTTGGCGACGAAGCATAACAACGGAGAAATCCTGACTTAAAAGTGAAAGGTTCCCTATAATTGTGGCATTTACGGACCGCCGCTGGGAACTGTGTATTATTGTTAACGTCGCCTAGCGTTATTAGTGTACCCCCCCTTCCTTTTTTTTTCAGAACTGTGATTCTTTTACTTTCTTTTATCCATACGCATTTTCGCTTTTTAAAAATTGTTTTGGCTTTCTTCATGCTCCAACACTTTTTTGAGATTCGTTTCGGTCCTGGAAAGCTCTTTTCCGACTCTAAATCATAACAATGGGCAGAACATTTGTATGCTGCTATGCGTGGAATTGTGGGAGTATTTTTCAGATTATTCCATGCCTTTGCATTACTAAGCAGATTTGTTTGTGTGTATCATTTAATTGATTAAAATTGGATTTGGTGAAATATGTGAAAGCTTCTTAATTGTTCCCCAAAATCTTCTGGTAAGTCATCTAGTGACTGTTCTTAAGAATGCTTTATTATAAAATGCAAGAAAATAATTCAAGGACACCAAAGTTGTGGTCTTAAAGTTGTATTAGAGAGTCATTAAAACTCTCCCCCGCGGGGCTATGCATGTTTAATCTCATTAAAGCATCAACAAGATACGTAAAAATAATTACTATGTTTTTACTTCAACACAATAGTACACAGAAATAATTCTATTTGACGCAATAATAACTTAAGTACAAGCAAAAATTTTGAATTCAGGGATCACAAATAGACGTCAACGGGTAGTATGCGTGTATATATATGTGTGTGTGTGTACTCACACCCATATATATAACTGTTCCTTAATATTAATAACTTTATAATTAATTCAGTTAAAATTACTTTTATAATAAATAATGTTTGTACATATATATTTCAGTCTAGTATAGACTTTAAAAAAAATCTCAAGTAAATTCAGGCACCTAATTAAAAAATATTTTTAAAAAAGGAGTATATCACCTACTTTTTACAAAAAAAAAACCAAAAAAAATGGCAATTCCAATAGTTTTAGAGAAAGTTTTCCTTTATATCACTATTTTTTTTTCTGTTAGAGTATTTGTTCTCATTTTTTCAATTCCAACGAAACATTTTTCTAAAATATTTAATTTGGATTATTAGATTCTAGTAGATGAAATGTTTTTTAACTAAAACGAAATTCTTCAAAGCAGTTAAATTTTTAAGCCGAAAGGAAAGAAAAAAAAATTCATATCTTGAAATAATTGTTTATACAAGCATATATAGTTACAGTTACAGTTACAGGCTTTGTGGGATATTGAAATAAGCAAATTTTTTTTGCTGTAGAAACTGAGAAATGTAGTTATTTAACATACAGTAATTTCAAAGCCTCCTTAAAACCAATATTAAAAACTGAGAAATTGTTAACACATTAGGTTTAATTTTAAACATAGGAGTAGAGAAACTGTGTTAGATCGGAATTAGGCCACGTGGTTTTGAACCACAACCCAATCATATGATGATTTAAATAATGTTTTTTTGTTTTTGGTTAAAGATGATAAATCAAGATTTTTTCTCAGAAAGTTTGAATTTCCAAAATGAAAAGAATGATATGATATATATTTCCCCGAAGTTCGTTCAGATAGGCAAATTTCAATTCTTTGCAGGTTCCCAAAACTTTACGATAATTTGGGTCGATATTGCTATTTTTTTAACAAATTATATAAAAACTATTTATCAAAAAGAATTAACGTGTTTATAATCTAAATCGGGCTTCCAGGAGTAATCTTTTTGCATCGTGAAAATCTACATCAACAAAAACCTGTAAAAAGAGAATGTGCAAAATAAAATATATATGAAAAATAAAAGTTTATTTTTATATATTTACACGAATAACACCATAAAGGGTAATTAGAAGCTAAGAATGAAATATTTTATTATCTTACAAGAAACCTCTTACATTTTCCTTCACACTTTCCAATAAACTAAAAAAATTAAAAGTTAAAATCAATTGAAACTAATCGTGAATTATCTCAATTTTCTTTTTTTAATACTCGATTCTTTGGGAGCTATAATATCACGAAAATAAAATTTGCATTGGCATTTTTGTTCAAATGGCTGAACACAGTTAAAAGGAAAAACAACACGCAAATAGTTTAGTTTATGAAATAGACAGCGATAAAATCCATTCACCTTGACCTTGCATAAGAAAAGATGAATCGTGCTCAACTGAAGCTACAGAAGTTGGAAAAGCAATTCAAAACATCTCTTGTTTCCTCAGTCTTGTTTACTATAATACTGCTTTTTAAAATAATCGGCTGTTTTTTGATAAGAGACCGAGTTGGGGAGCACTTAAGCTAAGTGATATTTACTCTGTTGAATGCTAACTAAAAAATAATAATAAAGAGTTTAAAAAAATATTCGTGACTTGTTTACTTATTTTTTTAGCAAGAATTTTTGTAAGAAATTACCTTCAAATTTATCAATAGTTAGATTTAAAAATCCACAAACTATAAAATTACAAAACATTTTTTCCGACCACACATTCACTTTCCTTATACATATATTTATTTTTATAAATATATCTTGTTCAAATTTTCAATCGTTGGTAAAATACTTTCTATTCATCCATTCAAATTCAGATACATTTTTTTAAAACTTGTAATGGATGGCACTTGATGTTAAAACAGTTTTTTTCAAATATTAATCCTTTAGATAAACTTAATTAATAAATAAATAGTAACAAACAAAAATAATAGTTCAACACCGTATATAAAAAGGAAAATTACTCGTATCCCTGTAGCGCAATGAACAGCGCGTTGGTCCTCTAATCTAAAGATCGTGGGCTCGAATCCCATCTAGGATGGCCTAATTTATGAAAATGTGATTTCTTTTTTCTATACTATTTTTTGGAATAATTAAATTGAATTAATAAATGTATAGTAACCAACAAAAATAATAGTCCTACACCCTATATAGAACGGAAAATGGAAAACTGCTTTCTATTTTGCCTCTTAATATTGTGATTCTGTCAAATGTGTATATACATATTTATATTAATTGTAATTATTTACTAAAAAGCACCTAAAATAAAATTTTTCTTTGTTGACCTAAGTAGAAATTGACTTAATTTTTTTGTGTGTTACTTATTTATTACATTTTTTTACTAAAAATATCAATGTCTGTGAATGTGTGACTGTATTTTTAGATAATTTCTTTCTTTGATCAAAATATTAATCAGCATGGTTATCTAGATGCGAGATATTTATATTATCGGTTTGAATATTATGAAAAAAGGAACACCTAGCTTATATAATCAATGTTTAAATAATTAAATCAGCGGTTTGTATAATCCAGAATTAACCAAGTAGAAATTCTTAGAACCAAGAAAGGGTCGTTAGTTTCCAAACTAATTTATTTTTATATCATGAGTAATTGGATAATTTTCCATTTACTAATCAAAGTTGTGATCCATAAGAATCATTAGTTTCATAGCTTGATGAACTTGAAGGGTTAAAAAAAATGAAATACGAAAGAAACTGATAAGGAATGAACACGGCAGATATTTTTCTATTAAAATGCTAATTATTTAACCTTTTTTAAAAAAAATTGCGTGGAATTTAAAGTTATACACAAGATGATTGGAATTTCTTATAAAGCCATTTTTCTTTTAAAAAAAATGTACTTGTAACAAAAAATATGCATTTTTAATATATTTCCCCACTATTTATTTCTTGGTTTCGTTCATCCAACAAAATACTCTTTTTCAGTAAAATTACATGCGGATGGAGCAATAACAAATATATGACGAACGCTTAACTTGATAATGAAATGAAATCTCTAACTCACATATTTTAGGCAAAAATACTTTTATTTAGTTACTTTGAACATTTATAGAAATATTTTCTTAATTGAATGGGATGGGTTAATTAGACACAATAAATTTTTACTTATTTAGCATATTTTCGAAAACTTAATTAAGAGCAAATTACATGCTTTTGAGATAGGTGAAGTTTTTTTATATTTTACTGCGCATTGAAGTTACCATAATAAGCTGTAAAAGAGAGAAATATTGTTAAATCATTGTTGCTCATCAAATATAGACAAAGTTAAAAAAGAAATACAATTAAAAAACTAGCTATTTTAAGGACTTATAAGAACCCCATACCTATGTAGAATACTATTGTCCAGTTTGTGGAAGAGAAGAAATTTACAGAAAAAAAAAAAGAAAAGTGTTAGTAAGTTAATTTTGTTATCGTTTATAGAACACGGTTTATAACATCATTATGACTTTATGTATTGTATACAGTATGTATATTAATAATTTGTTCTTAATAAAATGAAAAACTGCTCAGTTCTAATTTTTTTTTTGTAAATAAGTTTTCATCAATATCGGAGCTTGGCGATTAAAAGGGCATCGTCTATCAACTAAAAAATGTGGAAAATGAATATCACTAAATTATTTTTTTCAACAAATAAAATTTTGGATTTAATAGCAGCATTTTAAAACTTTGAATAAACAATTTTAGAACAAATGACCAAAAAAAAAAGTTTTAATCGAGAATCATGTCACAGATTTTCGCAGAAGTACATGTAATATAAATTAAAACAATACAAAGAAGTTTTCAAGAGTTCAGTTATATATTTTTTCTATTCCAATAACATAACAAAAATTGTCCTGGCGTTTTTAAATTAAATAAGTATAATAATTTGTTTAGCTTTATTATATGTTAAGACGCACATATATCCAGCTAATATACATGAATCCCAAGAAAAAATAAAATGAGGAGGTAAATTCTTATAGATTCTTATAGATAAACATAAAGAAATAATAAAGCGCGCATTTGTATGAAAATTTCAATACAGATGAAATTATATACCTTAAAAATCAGCGGAAAAATTAAATTAAATTGTTCAATTATTTTCATGTGAAAATTATTCCAATTACATGAGAAAAATTGGTTAATTCATTGCTCAAACGAGAAAAATTAGTCCTTTGATTATGATTGCAACAACTTTGTTAATCCAGAGTAAAATAGGAATTTTCTCTTAATGTTTAAACAATAAGTTTTGAAGAGAAGAAATTGTAGCATGTCCCATTATAAAAAAAATCAAACTATTTTTAAATTTTTTTAAAATTATATTTAAAAATTTATTTTAGAGGAACCTCAAGTCGGATAACTTCTTTCTAATTTTAACCTAGGCGTCATTTACCTCCTCTTTTTGAACTCAGCAATAACGAAACATTTTCTCACATATTTCTTAGAATTATTTTGATGTTCAGCGAAGTATAAAATAGTATAAAAACTATACACACACAATGAGACAATTAAATTACTTGAAAGGGCTAAAAGGTTGTTTACCAAAAAATATCTTGTTAAGAGAACATTGCTACAAAAGAAGCTTAATAAAAAAAATTAGTTTCTCACATATAAGAATAATACGAGTTGCAATTTTTGTCTTAGTGTTGATTGCATAGAAAGTTGAAAATGAAGTTGTTGCTTTAATAATTTTCTTACTTTTTCTGCTGTAGTAAGAGAAACGGTGATAATTTCAGAAAAATATTAGCTATAAACTAGCATTTACACATTTATATTTTTGTACAGTGATTATATTTTGGTTATGTATTTTGGCACATGTGTACAATTATATTTTTGTATTTATGTAATATACTCGTTTTCCTTTTGTGAAACATTTATACGAAAAATAGTATAATCCTTTTTTTGTTTTTAATTTATTTATATAATTTGGGGGTGGGGTGGGAGAGGGGGGACACAGTTTTCTTTAACTGGAAGCCTAATTGGCAATTTTTTCAAATATTCTGTTCATGGCTACAAAAATTGGTCAATCAAGCAACATATTCATGTTAATGTGATACTAGATAATAGAAAGAGCTAAAAAAATGACACTCTACTCTTGTAAGGAGAGAAAATATTATTTTGATACATTGAGAACACACTTTTTATTATATTCTTAATATCAGAAAAATTTCAAAATATCAGAAAGAAAAAAAATTATATCATATGCCTTATGTAAAGTGGGGATGGAATAGAAAAGTTAATAGTTGATGCTTATAGAAATCACAAGTATTTGCAAAAAAAACAAAAACAAAAAATTATAGTTAAAAATAAGCGGAAAGAGAAAAAATAAAGGTGCTTTATATATAAAAAAACATTCAAAATATTCTACATGAAGTGTAAATAACATTAAAACTTTTTTGTTCAGAAGGAACATATTAGTGAAATGGTTTTAGAAGAATTATAAAAAATGGAAGTGTATTCTCTCTAGTTAAAAAGAATGTAGCAAAGAATTAAATTAAGAAATGGAAATAAACTTTAAGATATCTATTTGAAATCAATCAGTAGTTATTTAATTCAATGATACAAAAACACGAAAATTGACTTTGAAGCAATTTTTTGCATAATTGCGACATCTCTGTAATGATTCGCTTTCAAGACGTGTCAAAATAAACGCACATAAAAAAAGAGAGAGAGAACATGATGGAAATAGAAAGTACTTTTAAAAATTGCTTCTTTTTTTATTTTGTAGAAATTTAAATCTAAATAACAAAGCACATTTTTTTAAAAGTAAAAACTTATATTAGATCTACTGTGTTAAATCTCTAAGGAATAATTGTTTTTTACTCTAAATTTATAAAAAAATCTAAATAAACTTTTTTTTAAAATAAAAAGAAAAAAAATCCCATGAAAGTGTGCTCATACATATACAGTCGGACCTTCATATAACGAAGTCACTAAATCCCGAAAAAAAGTTCTATAAATGGAAAATACGTTATACAGAGGTTCATCCTTCAATATAGTTTATAAACCACATAAAACAAATTTTAAATTCATATACACACACCTTTTGTAAATTAATATCTATTTATTTTATAAATCTTACCCATAAAAAAACCCTGCAAGGAAAGCAAGAGAAAAGAATGTTGAGGAACACACTGTATTTTCAACACTAAGAAAATAATTTTGTATTAAAATTAATGAATTTTAAAGATATTTTCTATAATTTAAAGCAGAGGTTCTCAAACTTTTTTGTCTCATAGATCCCTTGTCATGTTTTTCGGTTTGGAGTAGACCCCTGCTTAAGTAATACTGAATTTTTGCAAATTTGTTAACTAAATTGTGCTTATGCAGCTGGTACAGAGTAACTTACTTTAAAGAATTTAAATTTCTAATTGTAGTGAAGTATGGAGTTTTAAACTTAAGAAACACATGTTAACTAATTTAAGTGATATTTAAAATAACTGATTATAAAAAACAAATGTTTATAATGATAGGGATGAATCTGGTGCTTCAATAACAAATTTTCAACATTTGTAATCAATTTTGTCAGGTTTAACCGAAAATTTCCTTGGTTAGTAATGTCCAGCCGACAACTATACTGAAACTCCTTCTCACTATATAGGAAAAGCAATTAAAACTTTTCTCCAATACTCCACAATTCGAGATAAATAACAGGTATGTCTCATTAAAGCCAAAATTGCTGACATCCATTTCTAAACTTTACTTTAAGATCTCCGTTACTTCCTATTCCGATCAGTTCCTCTTGTAATATGACATTTTTTTTTTCAATGTGATCATAGGAATTCATTGTCTTCTGTGGTAATTACCAAGTAAATGTGCATTCTGAAACCTAGTTTCAAAATCTGAATAAAGGGAATTTAAATGTTGAGTGTAGGTTAAAACGTTATTTTCCTGGCAGATTGTCTGTGACCAGTTGAGAAACAGAAAATTCGCTGCGTCCAATATTATACTTCTTTAGCTTAATTCTGGCAAGAAATACTGAAATGATGGCCCTTGTTTTAAATTAAATTTATGCTGTCACATAACTACAAATTAGCCTCATTAA